CGCTCTCGGCTATCGCCTCGAGCGACTCTTACGCTTCTTTCGTGCTTAGCAGCCTCCCGCGTGCATCCATAACTCAATAGTGTACGCTGAGGTGTTTACCATTTGTCAAATTGAAGACAAATGGAATTAAACTGAATTTTTCTTGCAAAGCTTTCAGATCTGAAATCAATTTTCAAACTAGTCCTCTGGGTTTCAAATTTGAAACTTTTAAAGTTGCATTCTCTTGACCAAAAAATTGCTGTTTTAGGATCATTGAGTAAAGGGTGTATCAAAGCGGAAAAGACTTATGAAATCATTTGATTTTATGTGTTTGAGCATCATATGATTAACAATGAGTCCAAACCATTGACCATCGTTGGGAAAACGTTGTGATCCCGTACTTTGACAGTTTGATACTTTGATAGACAAACAACACATCATACTCGTGACCTGTCAGGATTTTATTTTATTCTATTTTATTTTATTTTATTCATGCACAGTGCACGAATAAAAATCCTGAAAATCTGCTTTCGGAGTGGCCTATTCTGCTCTAGCAATTTAGATGCTGAGCGATGAAGTTCTCGCTCGATGGCATGTTGGTTTATTTTTCTGAAATGCTCGCTAGTAGGGTGATCGAATCCTACAGAGCTCACGGTGATTTCCAAGACACTCTGCTGAGCCAACCAGAAGTTCTTTTGAGGGAACTTTACAAGATTTAATTCGCAAGACATGATTTTTCAGGAGTACGATTTACCCCTAGGAGACGAGAGTAAAATGGTTTGGAAGAAATCTCGACCAACAAAATGTTGCATTTTACACACAAATCCCAGGTGGACTTGCTCTCGGTTCGCTTGCTATATTAACTGAATTATTTTGGAATTAACCTCCGGTCTTTGCCTTGAAGGGCATTATTTTTTTTCTTCAAACTGGACATCGGTTCCCAGCAGAAGAACCCTGGCTGTGTTCGTAACAGTGACAAATATCAGAGTCTTTTTCATAGAATAATTTGAATATATCAACAAGGTTAAAATGGCCACCGTTACGATTATAAAAGCTGACGTTTCGAGCGTTAGCCCTTCGTCGGAGCGAATATAGGAATTGTGGGTTGTGTGTCCTTTTAAAGGCAGAAAATGGAGCTACCTTATTGGTGGGAACATGGCAACGAGAAAAACACGAATAAATTAGTGGAATGAAAAGCGTTCATTGATACCTTTTATAATCGTAACGGTGGCCAATTTACCATTTCAAAGTTGTTGATATATTCAAATTATTTCGTTACCCCCACCGACACAGCCCCAAACAGTTTCTTTAGAAACTATCAGCCTTTATTCTTTTTCATAGAGCTCTTTCAATTCACTCTAACTCTTGTGACATTTGAACGGCACTTAGCCAACAAACTAAATTTGCTGACCCTCAATTTACTTGGCGCTTTTCTTGACACTTGCTACAGACTCCTCCGCATGCAGGTTTGTGGTATTTATGGCAATATAAGGAATTTTTCCATTACATGGTTTATTTCTGACGATTGTGCTTATCAACGGTTTACTGATCGGCAGAGAGATCGCAATGAATACTGAAACCATCACATCCAAGACAAAGAAGAAAACCATGAGGGTCGCCATGGTAATGGTAGCCCCGTTTGCCTTAAGGCTTCCTCTGACCATGCTATTGCAATATGTGATGATACCTCTGTACCAACGTAACACAGAAGATATACACAGAGCTTTTGTGGTTGGTGCCTTCCCTCTTGTGACAGCTATACCAAATGTTATCTTACGATTGGTAGCGCAAAGACTCGATTTTCTTCATCCTAGTGCGTCATTTGTGCTCGTGGAAGTTTTACCTTTAAGCATTGTTGTGGAGATTATTTTTGCTACTTTGTTAATAAAAAGCTGAAACGTGACAGGTTAGACACAGTTATGCCCCTTATAAATTTCGCACAGCAAGGAGCATGCGTTTCGTCGCAGATATCAACATTCAGATGATCCTCGGAGGTTCCTTAGCATTAATCGCAGCAGTTGCTCTTGGTAAACTGAAAGATTACTTGTCCCACAGTCAGGTACCGTTTGCTTCACGTGTATCGCTGTCTTTGTACGTGTGATCGTTGCCCTTATCATCGATTTTGCTTTCAATTCACTTTCGCTTTGGTTGCAAATATCCTACTTAAATGTTGCTGTAGTGTGTGTTTGGAAGAAGACATGGAAAAAGCATCAGTGTTCGCTGCTTTTATTTTTACTACTTTTGCATTGTTTGTGTTGACGAATACTGTGCTTCACTCAAAGGAAGTCATTGATCTCTCATAGGCTAAAACGCCTCAATTTAACTTTATAGGCACAATGGCGCTTTTGCTCATTGTTTCCGCTTGAGCTGGTTATTTAACAAGTGGTAAACACCACAGCATACTCTATGAATCATGGATGCACGCGGGGGATTGCTAAGCAACGAAAGAAGCGTAAGAGTCGCTCGAGGCGATAGCCGAGGGTGACCCCAGCTTCTTGAGTGCTTAGCAAACCTCCCAAGTGCATCCATAACTCAATAGTGTACGCTGCGGTGTTTACCATTTGTTTAATAACATAACATTGATACATTGTAGCAAAAGAGTTCCCTTTTATTTAACACTGTAATCTTACGTGACTAGATAAAAACAAGTGCACGGAAACTAGTCTTTTCTTTGCTCACGTCAGCAACGTACACCTGTAGGCAAATGATGGACACTGAATTGACCAATCAAAACGCGCGTTTTACTTTGGTTCTGTTGTAATTGTATTTTGATAGAGTTAAAGGGGCTCTGCTATTATCTTTGTAATCATCATTGTTGATAAAAAAGTAATTATCCCGCAGTACAGGGTGTATAATTTTGATACAGACGCTTTTCGTTTTAGCAGGTTGCGTCTCAACGACCAGAACTTTAATTTACGCCTGGTTGAAGATGGAACAAGAAACCAGCCATAAACAGTCGCACCTTTGATTTTTGATCAACGAAATAAGATGAACATTATTTGAAAATTAATAAAAAACATAGCTGATTATGTCATGACCAAGTGTAGCTCAATCTTGATCATGCCATTAAATTAATGCATATCGGAAAACTTAGTTTTTTTTGGGACGAAAACTGTTCTCCTCTGTTGGCTGCACTGTTGTGCAACTCTACATCTCGGCTTTTCTTCAACGTCACATCTAGAAAACAGGGAGTACACGGAGGTTGTGAACGTAGCACTAGGTGTCATCGTCGATTTCTGATTCATTGCAACGAATTGTTCCTCAGACAGTGAAACCTAACCTGTGACCAGTGGTTACCTTTTGGTGGCATGGAGGAGGAAAAAGGACACAGCCTTCTTTTGTAAGAAACAAGCTACGCTACCACTCGTTATTACATTCATCACCCTTTGTTACACAATCGGTTTTCAAATTATGAATAAATCGCATAGAAATGCTCCTCCAGTTCTTTCCTGTTTTCCTCAGTGACAAAGGGTTAACTTAACGAAATGTTTTTTCTTTCTTGTTTTCAAAATATGCAGCGGTGGCTCATCTCCCTAGCGCATGATGGCTAAGTGCTTCCTCTGAAAAGAAGGCTTTGCACTGGCTTTCTTTGGAATTAATGCCATCGTTGCATTGGTTTGCGTTGCATTGGCATTCCATACATCATAAAACTTACCAAGAGATTAATCTCTTGATCAGTTTTATGATCTTCCTTCATATATGTCACGTCATATAACTCACGTCATGTAACTAATGTTGTATAACACAGGTCATATAACTGGTGCGTTCTGTGAACGGCGAGAAATTCTAATGTTAAAATGCTTGTTTGACAAGGGGCAGTGTATTTTCACTCAGAAATTCAAATGTCGCAAGTTTCTGGGCCTGTCATTGCCTGCCTTCTCTCTCCCATGTCCCTCATATCCTTTATAATTTGAATATATCAACAAAGTTGAAATGGTAAATTGGCCACCGTTACGATTACAAAAGCTGACGTTTCGAGCGTTAGCCCTTCGTCGGAGCTCCAACGAAGGGCTAACGCTCGAAACGTCAGCTTTTGTAACCGTAACGGTGGCCAATTTACCATTTCAACTTTGTTGATGTATTTAAATTATTTCGCTACCCCCACCGACGCAGCCTCAAACAGTTTCTTTAGAAACTATCAGCCTCTTATCCTTTACCCTCACTTTAAGTTTATCCTTTCCTCATAGAATATCACTGACATGTATTTTAGTGGAAACGTTTCAGCTTTAACGCGGGAAATATATAAAACGTGCAGTGTGGACCAAAACATAAAATTTCTTATTCCCCTTTGACGAAGGCACTCAGCTAAAGGATACGAAAGATTAACGCATAACACATTGCCGTTGACAAGCTTCAATAGATCGTGTTAAGTTCTCGAGGTGAACAAGTCATGACGTCAGTGAAACGTATTCTCCCGTAGTATCAAGTTTCGGCATCCTTATCCGCCGATTTCCCTTATTATCATGGCGTCGTTTACGCTTGAAGGCTTACTTGCCTACGTGACGGAAACCTTTACTGCCGGTGTGATTCAGTCATATCAGGGACCAGCACTTCACGAAGATGCTCCACTGATACAGGCAAGAGACCCTTTGGAGGATTTCAAAAAGTTTGATGATAATGATACGATTTTTCAAGAATACAATCCACCACCAGACGACGACAGTAAGATGGGCTGGAAGAGATCTCGGCCGCCAAGATGGATGTCGCTTTGGAAGGCCGTTAAATGTGTGTTTTTAATTCAAATTGTTGGAGGTTCAGCCCTCGGCTCGCTTGCGCTATTGATTATAGTTTTGGATTTTAATTTCGTTGATCTTTGCTACGATGGACAGTTACATGGTCACTGGAACTCGCTATCACGTAATATTCAAGCCATTATCGTGACAGCCGAGACAGTGGAAGCATATGTGATCCAGATGTGGTCATTTCTTCTGATAATAACAATGTTTGGATGGCCATTAGTAAAGAGCCTCAATCTGTTAATCCTTAATCTCCTGGGAGCATTCTTCGATACCTGTTACAGGCTGTACCTTCAAGTCTTTGGATTATACGGGAAGTCGTGGAGGTCTTTTCCTTTAAATGCTTTATTTCTTATCATKGTTCTGATGAACTCTGTTATAGTGGGAAGAGAAATTGCTAAAAACACGGCTGGGGAACGAAGTAGAAAACTTAGAAAAACCCTAGAGGTTTCTTCTATACTCGCAGCGCAACTGGTTTTTGGGATTCCCATCGCATTTGTTCTTGTTTACGTGTTGATTCCGTTATACGGTCGGCAGAATGAGACGTACAGGGCGGTTATCGCCGGCGCACTTCCTTTGGTGACCGCTGTACCGAAGGTCATCGTGCGATTGGCGGCGCAAAGGATCGACTTTCTTCATCCGGGTGACTCACATGTCCTATTGAGTGTTCTCTACAGCGCATCTGGAATCGTTTTCCGTGTCATGCAAGCAGAACTGACGAGTCTTCAACTGTTCATTGTTCTGAGCTTTGCACACGGTACGGTGGACTTATTGGAAAGATTAACCATTATTGTGCGAGACTATCTGTGGTACTTTATTTACAAAAAATTTAAAGGTGACGCGAACGCCGTAGAAGCGTTAAGGGCTGAAAAATTTCGCACGCCTAGAAGCATGCGTTTTATTGCAGATATGAGCATTCAGATGATCCTCGGAGAATCGACTGCGTTGATAACAGCGGTAGGCTTTATCCAGCTATATAGCTTCATGTACAACAACAATAGTCTGGCCTTCTCTGACATGGGTTTGGTTGGGGATTTTTTCATCCGCGTGTCGATTGCGCTAACAATAGATTTCTTTTTCAATTCGTTCTCGTTTTGGCTACAAATGTCATATCTAAATGTTGCTGTAGTGCAAGTGTGGAAGAAGAAATGGTGCAAACATATATTCGTGGGTTTGATTTTGACTTCCGTGACACTCTGTTACTTTACAGCCCATTTGTTCGCTGTTGTAAAGGACAAGCATACGTCTACTTCTAAAATGCGCCATTTTAATTGCACCGGACCATTTTCAAGATTTTAGCGGGAGCGGAGTTTGGCTCAGAAAATAATCCTTACAATAGTTTAGTGGTTAAAATATCAGTTTTGTAAATGAGAATTTATTCATTTGTGGCATGCAGGAGACAGGTGTCCAACACAAGGAGCACAAGAGTAATTCCCGCGCGCGAGAACGTAAACGCTTGAATTACTTCGCTTGTGCGCGTCAGTCAGCATGATTTGCGCGCGTCTCGAATTACGTGGTCTTTTTCGAAGGTTTTTTCTTTTTTCTTATTTTGTAGCAGTTTCAGAAGGAAAGAAAAAAGACAATTGTGTTAATCAAGTACTGAAAACAGATTTTAGAGAAAGCGTGGTTCCTTTCTCGACAGGACGGAAAACGCGTGCGCTGTAAGTACCTCTCGTTGTCCCATACAAAGCCTTAGAAACCTTTTCTAAGGTTAGTGTGGGACAACAGAAGGTTCTTACAGTGCACGCATTTTCCGTTGTCATGAGTGCTACAGAGTGTCCAAGACTACAATACAATATCAATTGTATCTTTATTATCATCCTATCTGAGTCGTTTTCAGTTTATAACGTAGAGGGCAAAATTACTTAATGCTGATTGGCAAAGACTGAGGGCATTTTTCTTTAATTTTTGTAATTACCCCGAGCAAAGTTATTTGATTTTGAGAACATTAAAAGAGGCCTAACCTTATCTAATTTCGTTTATGACACACTTTTTTTATCAGAGCAGGTTTCATTGCTTTGGTATATCGTGGTTCACCTTTTAATGTAAAAGAATCTCGCTCAAAAATAGTACTTCCTTTGATTTCTGGAGATATGAGTTAAAAATTAATTGAAAGGGTTTTTTTTAGTGGTTTGGCCAAGTGACCGTTCAATACAGGTACACGACAATACAATTAGGCCGTCAGGAACAAGTAAAGGTTCTTGCCTGCTAAGCGGCACCACATTTAGCGGTCACGTTGTGTAACCCCGAAAGGTCACATGTGTAGCGAGGGTCGTAAGCGACGAATTTGGAGACCAGACAACTGTAACGCTGAACGTAAACTTCAATTGAAATAGCGTAAAAGGCAGCGGCTTGTAGAATGATGGATAGATGATTCGATGCATAGCTTTGTGTAGCGATAAGGTCTTGTTGCAGTGAGATTGGTCGTGGTTCGAACTAGAAAGCAAAGAAAGGAACCTAAATAAGCCGACGCCTGTGGATGGACTTCTTAACTTAGACGACGTGGCATAGAATGGCGAACCTACACAAGCGCTAAAGATAATCATGCCAGTTAAGATAATGAAGCTAACTATAACAACGAAGTAAATAAAATGGCTTACTTTAGTCTGGCTCCTTGCGGCAATAGGTGGCTGATATGTGGCGGTGAAAAAGAAAGTAGCGTTTAATGAACAAGTAGCGTTGTAACAATAACCCTCTCAAAGAACTACCTCTCTTACAGAATGAAATTCGATCGCTAAACCTGTCACACAAGTATGTACGGTTGCGCAAAAAGTAGATAATGAACGAGAACAAGACAGGAATCACGGCTAAATATAAACAGACGAACTATTATGGTATGAAAGTAACACCTTGCCGGTATTAAGTGGTCAGTCGGTCAAAGTCCTGAATATGTTTCTTCTCAGCCACTACAATGTTCACCTCTATTAGGCGGTTACCTCCATCGAGCAGTTGCAGTCACCCTTTAGTTAGAGCCAACAGCCTTGTTTTATTGTTTTCTATGTGTGTCAAATGGTCACCGAGAGCAGAACTACTCAAATAAAACTAAAAATAATCTTTCAAGTAATATTTAATCCATAGTTTTTTTTAAGCGAGATTCCACATAATTAAGCAGCCAACCTGTAGCTAGCCGTCACCCTGCCAAAGACCAGAATGTCATATTTTCTGTTTTTGCAAATTAAGTTGCAGAGCACGATTTGAGTTGCAAATGTGAAATTTTTCTCAGTTTTATGATACTGAAGTCACCTTTGTTGCACCTGCCGAAAGATAAAAAGGAAACAAAATTACAATGAAATGGAAATAAAACCTTTGTGATATTCATGAGTTTCAAGTATGTCACGAGTTGATTTGCACCTCAAAACGTTTTCCAGGATTAATATTGAGTCTTGTTATTCTAGTAGCTATTTCTCATTAAGAATTAAAACCAGATGAATTAAAAAAATCGATTTGTTAAAATCTCTATTGGAGATAATAAATGTAAACATAACATTTGCAAAAAATTAATTTCATTTAAATTAATTCATTCAATTT